AGCATGAAAATACTGAAAATACCACAAAGCTAATAAACTTTGTTTTGTGCAAGAACGCACTCTTGGCTGGAAACCTGAAGGTTGACATAGCTCACTTCCAGGTGCAAAGTTCCAGGAAGAAAGCCCTCTGTTTTTCTTGCTTATTTTTTTATTATAGAAAACTGCATGTGGCACCATGGTGAAGTGGTTAACACATTTGCCTGACATGCAAAACCTGCTCAGTATGTGCCTAGATAAATGGTAGTGCATCAGGAAGCTGCACTTGCAACATTTACTTGAGGCACACTGTCAAGTTTAACGGAAGATTATCTGTCAAGATAAGAACCTTAACCTTCATAAACCACACTGGTTGCTAAACGTAAAAATGCACTTAGAGGTAACCATGCATAAGTCAACAAATATAGAAACTGCAACCAAGACATCAACTCTGATATTTCATGAGCGAAATCCAAAGAGCCGTTACTAGACCCAACATTTGTTTTTATAAGAAGCAAAAGTACCAAAAGGTTTGGAAGCACATTATGTTTGATAACATCATTAATTAAAAAACATATTTATGTCAAAAGTATTCATGTAGTTGTGAGGTTTAAATGTGGACAGATCTGACCATAAAGTAGCTTACTGCAATGAAAATACTTTGAAGTAAATAAAAATTGGACAAAAAAACCCAAAAACATTTGAATCTACTTGAGAATTACACATTTCAAAGTCAGCAAACTTTATAGTGGTATTTAGTATACTGTCTTTATGTCTATTATTTGAAGTTAATTTAAATACTTAAAAAATAAGAGCTGAGTTGTGAGACCTGCTTGTTTCTACGAAGACAGATGGCCTCATATTACATTACATTGATCAAAACACATGAGTGCTACATTAAGTTTAACGGTATGTTTACAATAGATGTCAGACATGTCAGACAATGTCTAATGTAAAATAATACAATAGAAAAAATACATGTAAAGTTTGATTACATGTAAGAGGATTGCCCTCTGGTGGAATCTGATTAAAAGACAGTGTAGATTAAAATAATTTGCCTGGAGATTCAATAATATAAACAGTGGTGATTATAGAGTCTTATGGAGTCCTAAAAAACTCACAGCACGTCCTTTCATCACCTTTACTGTGCAAAATTCTTGAGCCTTTGCTTCCAAGGAGTCAGATTTTTGACATATTTACTCATTTTTCATTTTTCAGTACAGTCCTTGTACCTGTGTCATGGTCTCCTGGTCCTTCTCCAGTTGCAATGCAATGATCTGGCAATCTCTGTTGGGCTCACTATGGTGAGCAGGCTACTACTGAAGAGGTGATTTCAGATTTACCTGCGCTTTCTCTTTTCACATGCCCACTGCTGTCAACAGAAAGAGTTGTTTACGAGGGAGAAGTCAGGAATCAGCTGTTTTGATAGAATTTGGAAACAGAGTTTCAGAGGAGACAGACCCACCAAGAGAAGATCACTCACCTGCCCCACTGCCAAAAGCCTGACTTATGCTAAATTACACAAGAACTGGACTGAAAATCAGTGGCAATAGGTCATATTGAGTAGGGAATCCAAATTTTAAAACTGTGGTTCAAATTACCATAAAGTAGCACAGTCCAGCTTTCTACGTCAGGTAAGATGAAGCACATTTACTATCATATCACTCAGATTTTGTTTTTCAAAATCAATGCCTTTTGAAATTTCCAATGTGAAAGCCTTCAAAAGTCTTCAGGTCTTTGAATGTGGAAGAACTGAGGAGGGGAAAATTGCTGAGCCCTGTTGGCACTGCAGAAGTTACGTTTTTACGTTTACATTTTACAGGCAATTATTGTATTTCTCAGACTATAAGGTGCACTTAACCCGTTTAATCCCAAATTTTTCCCTGCAAAATAATAAATTTTGTTTTCCACAACTTCATCTCTGTCCTGTCTGGTGCTTTCCTTGATCTTCACGATGCTGTTTGTTCACCAGTGATCTCTAACAAACCTCTGAGGGCTTCAAAGAGCAGCTGTACTTAAGCTGACATTAAAGTTCACACAAATGGACTCTTATTTACTAATTACGTGACTTCTGAAGGCAATTGGTAGCACCGGATTTTAATAAGGGATATCGGAATAAAGGGGGTATAAATAGTTTTTTAAGAAGCTGCTTACTCACCATTTCTTCTGCTTTCCATGTTTGTTTCTCACTTTGAAACTCACTAGAATTGTACAAACTCTGTTTTTTGCCTTGTACACTGTATTTACATTGACATGTCTGTACAGGATTCAATTTATCACTGTTTACCTTTACTTCAGCTCCTAAAGCTCCTTGGTCTTTGACTGTGAACTTAATGTAATTAGGTTTACTTAAACAGCATCATGCACCCCACTTGAAAAGGGATTGAGTGGAGTCAGGATTCTGCTTCAGTTTTAGGTTTGTCAGTCCTGACCCGCCTCCCCATCTCACAATTTTACAATATCAACAGCTCCCTCTAGTGTTAGCGGCTCTTATTGTAGTGCTTTGTCAGTTTTGTGCCCCTCAGTTTGCCAGGTACAGGTTATTAGAAAGAAGCGACACGTTGGGTTAACGGGACCTTTTTTCCTCAATAAAGACATAGGTCTCAGAGATTGAGCCTGTGTAGAGCCCTCTCTTTTTTTCAGATTATCTGTTTTTGACTTGGATTAAGTTTTCAACCGGAAAAATTGGACCACAATTTTTCCGGTTGAATCCAGATCCTTGGCTGAACCTGCAGAACAGGGTCATTGTACTCAATGGGATCATAGCAACATCGTCTGAGCATTAAGACACCCATAGGAAGATGAGGGGATAGCACAATATTTTATCTATAAAATGAATTTAGTCTTTAAGATTGAAAGTAAAATCCTTGTCTGAGGGTGCTTTCAGAAGTATTATAAAATCAAGGCTATAGCCTCGTGTGGGACCCCAAGAAAACCTATTTTTGTTTTTTGTTTTCAAAAACAGCCTGGATGTCTAAACAGGAACAAACTCAACTTAATTAACCTGGTTTGACACATAACTGGATGAATATAGCATTCCTACTCAAGGAACTGCTTTCAGTCAGTCAGAATTCTCTGTAAAAGCACCTGAAACATGAAGTTTTTAACTGCTGATTGTTAAAAAAATTATTTACAACTGCGTTACTGATCAATTAATCAATAAAACTTGAACATTAAAAATTCTTCTGCAGCCCCCACCCCCTCCTTTGTTTTACTTCATCAATTTCTACTATGAATTTTGAGTTATGTTTTTCATTATGTTCGTCTGTAGATATTGTCAAAGGTTTGTGTTTTATGCTTGTGTTTTCTTTTCTTGGTAAATTTTACATTATTTTCACCACAAAGATGATGACAACTCATTTTTCTGCCATCTTTCTGGCAAATAAAGAAAATTAAACAAACTAGTCAACAGGCTTCAAATAACACCTGAATCACTAAGACCGGTACACCTCATCAAATGAATTTGTTTTGAGAGCTTTTTTCTAAAACTCCTTGGATAGCGTTCAACGACAAGTAAGTCAATTTTCAGAGAATAGTGACCCAAGAGTTCTTTAATTGGTCTGTTGACCCTGTGGATGTTCTGTAATGTTGCAAACAGAATTGTTTATGCATTTTAACATTTCCCACAAAAACATGAATCAATGTATTTTTTAGGCAACCTAAAATAACATCTCTCATGTCATCTTACTTCTATTACAACACTTTCCAGAAATCAGAAAAGCGAAATATTATAACCTGCCAACAAATGCAGGTGTGAGCCCCAAATAGACAAAATTATTTTTGTCCTATCACGTTCAACTACTGATGCACTAGGAAGTACAGAAAACAACAAAATAAACGGTGCTTATTGCAGATTATCTCATATACAAGCATACTTTGTATGTGCGGATGTTAACATTTTTCTCTTCATGTCCATTTACATGCTATTCATTACAGCCATTCTCAGATAACAAGGGAGTTGCAAGTTTCTACGTTTGCTTGAGGCTACCTGTCAAGCTTAATGGAAGATTAACTGCCAAAAACCATACACTGATTACTAAAATGTAAAAACACACAGCTGGGAAATAATGAACAGAAAGTTTTGGAAACACCGGGTTAATCTTGTGCTTAATAACTGCATTATTTTTATCTAAAACATTGAGGAAGTGCCATGGTCCTTGGTCTTTGACCCAGTGTTTCGAGTTTGTTTTTCTTTGTCCTTAGTTAAGAGTAGTCTTATTTAAGATTTCCTGAGTTTTCCCAGGCTAATTCATCTCTCCTTATTTATTTCATGTGTTTTAAGCCCCCTGATTTCCTCAGAGTTCTTGGTTGGTTTTACTT